TGTGTGTGTGTGTGTGTGTGTGTGTGTGTGTGTAGGTCTTAAGCACATAGCCACAGCTGCTGTGGGTTTGTGAGTACATGTGCTACGTCATATCCGAAAGACAGAGTTTTCTGGGCACTTTTCCCAGTTCCCCAGCTCCTACAATGTTTCCACCCCCTTTTTTTGTGCCTTTCCCTGGGCCTGGGAGGGGGATTTTTCTTATGATGTTTCTGCAAATCTCATTCATGTGTCACTCCACAGCCCGCCTACTTACTCCCTCCTTGTCAGCTGCAATAGCAAATACCACGCAGGCTCTGGAAAATTCCACTCAACACTGGGGAGAGAACGGCCGTGAAAAGGGCAGCTAATGTTTTGTTTTAGAATTCTCACTCCACCATCACTTCAGCATGTACACCCTGCCACCCCAATCCCGTGTGTGTCTGTGTGTGTGTGTGTGTGTGTATGTGCGCGTGCGCGCGCGCGAGTGCATGCGCGTGCAGGACAAAGGTTGTTATCATGTTTCTTCCTGAAATCATCCTTCCCCTCAATTAAAAACCAAAGACTTGCAGGTCAGTTGTAGCACATGTCCTTAATCCCAACACTCAGGAGGCAGGCGGATCTCTGTGAGTTCGAGGCCAGCCTGGTCTACAAGAGTACAAGAGTGAGTTCCAGGACAGCTTCTAAAGCCACAGAGAAACCCTGTCTCAAAAAACCAAACCAAACCAAACCCCAAAAAAAAGAAAACCAACCAACCAAACAAAAAAAACCTGTTAAGAAAATCATTTCATGTATATGTGTGTATATCTGTGTGTGTGCCACGTGAACGCAGAAGTCAAAGGATATCGTTTGGGGGTTTGTGCTCTCCTTTTTTGGAGGTGGTCTTCAGGTATAGAACACAGATCCTCAGCCTTGGCAGCAAGTGTCATTACTCATTAAGCCAACTCACTGGCCCTCTACTTTACTTTTGATCTTTTGCTGAATCTGGAGTTCACTGCTTCAGCCAGACTGGGCAGTCCAGAGAGCCCCAGGGATCCTCCTGTTTCTGCGTCTTCAGCACCAAGATTACAGGCATGCACAGTCTTGCTGGCTTTTATGTGGGTGCTGTGAGACCAAACTCAGGTCACTATACCTATGCGGTGAGTACTGCATTGACTAACTCATCTCTCCAGCAACCTCCTTCCTTTTTTAAGTGCCAGCCTCATGTAGCTCAGGCTGGACATCAGCTGAGTCCTGGGGCGCCAGGGTTCCAGGTGCTACCTGAATCCTCAAACGTAGGTAATCTTTTTTTCCTTTCTCAAACACAGGGTTCAGGAGAGAATTTCATAAAACATTTTGTGTGTTGCTTTCTTCCAGCTGTTTCCATGGGAACCTCAGGGACTGCAGCTAGGCCAGTCACAGGTCCTTAAATCCAGAGAGGCTTATGACTCTGGCGGAAGTGCCCAGGGGGAGGGCTGGAAAGGACGTCTGTGGGGCTCTGGATGTTCTTGGATGTCACCACTTGATCTTTTGCTTAGGGGGATCAGGGTTCAGTCCACCCTCATTGGATGCTCCGGGGGCTCTCGGCTTCCTCAGTACCAAATCCTACCTTCTGGAAGTTTCTGAGTCCGGAATTCTCCACCAAACTTACTTAAGAAAAACAAAAAGCAGACCCAACCCCCAGGCATGGTGGTACACACCAGTATCCCCAGCACTGGGGAGGCCACACAGGAGGATCCCGAGTTCAAGGGTAGCCTGGGCTACACAGCACCGTGCCTCAAACAAAACAAAACTAGAAATTGCAAAGGCTTAGGCTGGGTGTAGTTGTGCATATCTGCAATCCTAGCTCCGGGGACACCAAGGCAGGAGGATTCCAGGCCAGCCAGGGCTAGGGAGTAAGACTCAATGCTGCCCCTTCCCCCACCGATTTCAAGCCAGCGTATAGACAGACAGAATGACAGAAGTGCACCACCATGTGCCAATGACTCGTACACTTTTTACTTTCTAACTAAAAAGTCATTACATTTGTTTAGTCCTTCATTGACTTTATTCTGTAGGTGTTTGGGGATACATGTGGGGGGAGTGGTCTCTGTTTCTCTCCTTCCATCCTGTGGGTCCTGAGGGTGGAATTCAGGCTTGGTGACAAATGCCTTAATCTGCCGAGCCATCTCAAAGGCTCATTTGTTTTAATTAAAAATTTTTTTATTTACTGCCATTGTGTGTCTGTGAGTGTGCACGGACGCCTGCCACATGTATGTGGGGATCAAAGGAAAGCCAGCAAAAAGAAATCTTTCACAGTGGGTCCCAGGAATCGAACCTGGGTCCTTGGGCTTGTCAGCAGGTTCCTTTACCTGCCGAGCCATCTCCCCTGCACCGGATCACATACAGATGGGTGAATGTATTTGTTGTATGGAGTTCATTTTCACATGAGCTTTACCCACAGCCGTCTATGGCAGATGTGAAAAAGCACCAACTTAGGATTCTCATCTTGTCCTGTGCGTGCAAGTCACTCCGGTGCCTGTGTGTTCACACGCGCACACCCCGAGTGAGTTCCTCAGAGCGAATTCCTGGAAGCCATCTGTGGCTGCTGAACCCTCGCCTGTTCCGAAGAGCCTCATTGTGAACAAGAGAATGCACACTGGCCCTCTCGTGGCTTCGTGTGACAACACGTGCAGGTGATAACACAGTCTACAGCCAGGTGTTGTGGGCCACTTTGTGTAATCCCAGCGGTGGTTGGCTGAGGCAGGAGGATTGCTGTAAATTCAGGAACAGTCCGGGCTACAGTGTGAAAGCCTGTTTCAAAACAAATGAAGAAAACTCAAACTAGGGGGCTGCAAGATGGCTCAGTAGGTAAAGGTGCTTGCTACCACGCCTGAAGACCTGACTTAATTCTTGTCCCCTGTGCTGGAAAGAGAGAATTGATCCAGTTCTCTTTTCAGATTTACACATGTGCCAAGCCACATAGGTATTTGTGAATGCGCGTGCGCGCGCACACACACACACACGCACACACGCACACACACAGTGAAATAAATACAATAAAAATTTTTTTTGCAGCCGGATGGTGGTGGCGGTGCACACCTTTAATCCCAGCACTGGGGAGGTAGAAGCAGGTGGATCTCTGTGAGTTCAAGACCAGCCTGGTCTACAAGAGCGAGTTCCAGGCCAGCCTCCAAAGCCACAGAGAAACCCTGTCTCAAAAAACCCAAAAAAATTTTTTTTAGCCCAAGCCAAATAACTCTGTGTCTTTCGGGGATAGATAATACCTAGTCATAAATTTCACTTTTTTTAAATTTTACTGATGATGGCTACTGTAAAATGTCACATCACGCAGGCATTTTGCATTTGAGGCTGGCATGGTGTTTCTGTCTGCCGGGCATCCATTTGAGGATCAGGAAGATGAAAGAGAAGCAGGGAAAATAAAGGGTAGGTGAGCGGTTTGCACAGCACCCAGTTGCCATGGGAACCGTGCCATCAACCCTCTCTCTACAGAAAAAGCAAATAACAAAAGGGAGGGGGGGTGGGAACCTGAGGTGGTTTTGTTCTGTTTGTTTCTTTATTCCTTATGTAATGGCAAGCTTCAATAAGCAATACACACTGCCGTTGTTCAAGGAGGGGCACCTGTAAGCCGGCCCCTCCCCCCTGCCCTCTCATGGGTTAGGGTCCCTAGGAGAACCCTTAGGAGTAACAGTGGTTGTCCTCATTTCACAGAGAGCAAACAGGCCTGGAGAAGTTCTGGAAGGTTCTCAAAGTCGCAGCTGGGAGAGCAGTAAGGATAGAGTATAAATTCAACAGCTAGACTACTAGACCCTACAGAGTGTGGGGACAGGAAGCTCAAAAGCCTTTGAAGGATTGGGCCATGGAGATGGATCAGTGGGTACCCCAGAGTTGTACTTCTGGGTTCATGGTAGAAGGAGGGAGCCGACTTCCTGAAAGTTGTCCTCTGACCTCCATACATGTTCTGTGGCACACACATGCATCACACACACACACACACACACACACTATAAATAAAACAAAGATTTAAAATAAGGAACTGAGTACAGTGGTTCACACCTATCAATCATCCCAGCAATTGGGAAGTTGAGACGAGAGGATTGCCAGGAGTTTGAGTCCAGCCTGGGCTACATAGCGATACCCTGTCTCAAAAAAACAAAAACAAAAAGGATCCAGTTGTTGGAATACAATTTTAATCCCAGCATTCAGGAAAGGAGGCAGAGGCAGACAGACTTGTGAGTTTGAGGCTAGCCTTGGCTACATAGTGATACCCTATTTCAAAAACAGAGTATAGGAACATTCATGAATGAAATGTAGTCTCTGTAGGTGAGTCTGATACCCATTTACTGAGTACCATATACCCGAAATGGCTGTTTACTCATAAAGGACAGCTAACCTTGGCATCCGTGGTTGGTATTCAGACCTCTAAGCCATGAAAAAAGATACAGTCGGCGTGAGGTCACACCTCCAAAGCACAATTTAAATTAAAGCTTTTTAAAGCAGAGTTGTGTCTGTCCCCAGAGGAATGGGGATGTAGTTAGGCTGGTAGCGTGCCTGCATCAAATGCATGGAACCCTGGCCTCAACCCCCCAGAAACGCATTTAAAAAAAAACAGCGCAGGCAGGAAGTCAACTGCACGTGCCCTCAATCTCAGAGTTTGTGTGGCGGCCGGAAGCAGGAGGATCAGAAGTTCAAGGTCATTTGTGGTGGTTGGCAAGTTCAAGGTTAGCCTTGCCTATAGGAGACCTTGCCCCCAAAAAACAAAACCAACGTGAACACCCATTGTGGAAGCATCTATGCCTTCAAAGGAGGTCTCTATCCCCTGGAGGGAGACTGATCATCTCCTGTGGTGTGTAGATCCCAGTGACTTTGTCCCTGTCGTGTCCCCCCCCTTCAGTCCCCAAACCCTACTTCCCACCTGGCCCTTTAAGAGCAGCTGCAGCGATCCCAACAGCGCAGACCCCAGCTGCTGCCTGCAGTGTTACTATGGAGACAGGACTAGCAGGAGGGGGCGGGGAGGGGACTGGGTCCGCGCAGGCGCAGTCTGAGGCTGCCGTACCGCAGCGGCCCCGCTGAGCGTCTAGACCAGGGTGCGCGCTTCGCTTCAGACTCCGCGGGAGCGCAGGCGAGCCGCCGCTCCCACCCCCCACGCCCACCAGGTGCGTTGATCGTCCTGCACCCCACCATCGGTAGCCAAGTCACCCAGGCTGTCAGGGACAAAGGGAAGGGAGGAACAGCTCGGGCCAGCCGGGACCGGACACGTAAGCCCCCTGCGGACCCTCGGATCGCCCCGGGGGAAGATCGTTGCGTTCCGCTAGGCAGCAGGTAGCTAAAGCTAGAGCCCGGAGCCCCAAAACCCGAGCCTGAACTCTAACCCTGCGGGTGGCCCTTCCAGAGTAGGATTGACCCAGCCTGGGTTTTGCAGTCCTCGGGCTCCCTCCCGCCCCAAGATTAGCCTTCACTGGGCAGCGCCATGACCATGAACCTTCTGCAAGATTGGTGCAAGGAGCTCGAGGTGGAGGTCCACAGGGCCCTCCTGATCACGGGCATCCCTGAGCGCCTGCAGCAGGCGGACATCGAGGCCACCCTGAGGCCGAACTTGCAACCCCTGGGCAACTACAGGCTCCGGACCGTGAGAGCCGTGACCAAGGAGAAGGCTCAGGCCGCTTTGGTGGAGTTCGGGGCAGATTTCGATCACTCTGCCATCCCCATCCACATCCGGGGCGATAATGGAATCTGGAAGATTCTGAGTAAGGACCGCGGACAAGATGCGCGGGTCCTTAGGCAGATGAGGCGCCTGTTGCTGGATGAAAGGCCCATGGATGACTTCCGAGAAATAGCCATCCCCCTGGTATTGGAGGCCCAGGCCCAGGCTAAGGGGTTGGGGAAGGAGGCCAAGAAGGCTGGCTCCTCCGAAGGGGCAGCCAGGAACCGTCGGGGCCGTCGGGGAGGCAAGCGCAGATCTAGAAGCCACAAGTTTACAGTTCAGAAGGGCAAGAAGAGGGGCCGGGGAGGGCGCCGAGCCAGGAGTGAGTCGGACGACTCCTCGGATGACAGCCTGGGTATTGTCATAGAGGAGATCTATGCAGAGGACCTGAGCATAGATGAGGACCAGAGGGCCCTGTACGCCACGCTCCAAGCAGCTGCCAAAGAGCTCACCAAGAAGTGGGCCTTCAGGGGAGACCAGGACGAAGGAGATGGCCCCCGAGAGTTTTTGGCACTTGTCACAGTCACCGACAAAGCTAAGAAGGAAGAGATCGAGAAAGACCTTCCCGGGACGGAGTCCATCTGCTTAAACATCAAAGATGAAAAGAGTGGGGTCCCCGACTTAGTTGCCCTCCTGGCTGTAAGAGATACCCCGGTAGTGGAAGTAGACAGTGAGGGGGAGGAGGAGGAGGAGGAGGAAAATGAAGAGGAAGAGGAGGAGGAGGAAGAAGAAGATGATGATGACGATGATGATGACTCCGACGGCGAGTCTCTGGAAAATGGAGAGCAAGGAAAAGAAGGGGCGGACAACCCCGAGTTTGTGGCTATCGTGGCTTATACCGACCCTGCTGATCCCTCTGCCCGAGAGGAAATGCTAAAAATTGCTTCTGTGATCGAGACCCTAGGCTGGGGCGATAAAAAAGACAAAAAAGACGTCCTTCCTCAAGTTCTGTCCGTCATGTCCAAGGACACGTCTGGGCCCAGAGTGAAGGTGGAGGAGGCGGGCCGCCAAGTGGACGCCATGGTCCTGAGGAAGGCGGAGGAAGATGGAAATCTTCTGGAGTGTATTTCTACTTTGGCCGAAGCCGAGAACTGCCCCAAGGGAAAGAAGTCTGGGCTGGGTCTCCTCCGAGGCTGGACCGCTGAGGGCCACCAGGGTGGCCTCTTGGAGCTGGTGGCACTCCTGGCTGCGCAAGATATGGTGGAAGCCGTGAAAGAGGAAGAAGCCAGCAGGTGGGGTGGCGGCGGGGGCGGCGGCGGCAGCGGCGGCAGCGGTGGCAGGAAGTGTGATCACAGCCAAGGTGGCTTATCCGATGTCCTGGCTTTCCTGGCCTCCCAGGAGAATCTAGAATCCAACGAGGAATCGGATGACGAGTCAGACACAGAGTCGGAGGGAGATTCCGACGACACTGACAGCGAAGAATCAGAACCCGGTGACAGCGTGTCCAAGAAGCCCCGCGCCAAGAGAGCGCGCACCGGCTCCAAGAGCCTGGCTCCTGCCGGCGCCACCGCAGCCTCCGCCGCGTCCAGGGCACGCAAAACCCGCAGGGGTGGCCGAGGTCGTGGCCGGGCCGTCACTCCAGAGAAGAAAGTGGGGAGCGGGGCTGCGACCGAAGACCACGCGGGGAACAACAAGAAGAAGAAGGGATCTGCAGGCGCCGGGGCCCGTGCCAGGGCTGGCGAGGCCAAGGGACAGCCAGCTGCTGTTCCCAAGTCTACCCGCGGGAAGAAAGCACGTCGGGGCCCAAGGCGGGCGCCCAAATGCCGTTAGTGCCACAGATGTCACTACGAGCCCTGTCTCTTGTGTGTGGACCCCCCCCCATTCTCTCTCCCCCCGCTCCCCCCTCTTGCTTAAACGCGTGCATTCGCTTTTGTGTTCTGCCTGGCTGGCTATGACCAGTGCCCAGCCTTCCCTCTTAGTTCTATGAACAGATGGCGTGAGCAGCGATCGTGATGACCGAAGCCTTGATCCGACAAAGAAGAAGGAGACAAGACCCTCGGATGCAGTGGCCGGTGGGTGCAGAGGAGATGTGGGCCAGGAAGGCCCCGAGGGGCTCTGCTCTACATCTGGAGCCCCAGTGTGAGTGCGTGTGGGTGTCTTCCAAGCGCCTGCTGCTGGCCAAACAGCTGGGTTCCACTGTGAGCCGCCTCTGGCCTGACTGGGTCTGGGTGAAACAAGAGCGTGTTGGGTAGTGTAAGCATTAGCTGAGCTTGGAAGGGCTCAGGCCGCGCGTGCGTGCGTGTGCGTGTATGTGTGTGTGTGTGTGTGTGTGTGTGTGTGTGTGTGTTGAGGGGGGAAGGTACTCCAGAAGTGAAAATCTGAGGGCACTGGGAGGAGGAGGAATAGAAACGGGAGGAGGGAGAGGAGAGGAAGGCTGATGGGGGGGGGTGAGGAGAGGAGGAGGGAGGTTAGGGGAAGGGGCGGTGGTGGTATTAGCCAACCCATCTGAGGCTCTGCAGGTGGGGAGGGGTGGGAGCCAAGCCTCCCCCAGCAGCCCTTGTCCACAGGTTGAACTGGTAACACTCTGCCGATGTGTTCTGATTTGGAAAAGTTGCAGGAAAATCCAGATCGCTGGCTTCTCTGGGCAAACGCTGCCCCTCCCACCGTGGCACCCCGGCTCCATCGCACCAGCTGTCTCTGGCCATTCCTCAGCTGCTTGCCCTTGTAACTCTTGACTTAGTCTGACAATGGAGTCCCTAGTCCATCCCCACCACCACCACGTGCAGTAAACGCCCCAGATCCCCTCTAAGGGTCAAGTGTCCCTATTGTAGGAAGCAGTTGCTCTACTCCACTCTGGTATTATCCGATCCCCCAGTAAACCTGGAGGACACTGGCCAGGCTCCAGACCTGTGCTGTCCCCGGGAGCAGTCGCTTCAGCTGTGTTTTCCTGCAGTGCTACGTGCCGCAGCCCTGGCTGCTCAGTCCTGTGTTTTGCTGTGTAGATAATGCTGTTCCTTGCACAGCACTTTTCACCCTCGTGTGTGTGTGTGTGTGTGTGTGTGTGTGTGTGTCTCCAAGTTTCTATCCCCAGGAAGTGACCGGTTCGTGGTACCTGGACCCTCTAGGATGTAATGGAAGTTCCGACCTGTCCTCACAGCCCAGACTGGACAGTCCAGCCCCCGTGGGGAGGACATACAGAAACTGCAAGGGCCGTGGGTACCTCTTTGTACTCGGAAGCAGCCCTCTGCTTGCTCCCGTGACCAGTGATGAAGAAGGGACAGACGGAGGAGCAGGCCAGAGTGGCCCGTGGCTGGAGAGGAAGCCTTTCTTCGTGTGGGCCGATGGACTTGGGGGGCTGGAGGAATTCCTGGGCGACCTGTGGCTGGGGAGGGCCCCACATGTCACTTCTCCCTGCATAGTTATAGGTGCCTGTCTTGTGTGCTGTGCTGTGCTGACCCGGGATCCTTAAGTGAAACATAGTGAAGCATTCTTTGGCTGTTGTTTCCTCTGTGGTCTGAACGGTGCTGTGCGTGTGGACCAGGCTGAGTGACAAGCCTTGCTGTCATGGCTGATCCGCATCCCTGGCTCCTGCTCCCCCATCCCATGGCCCGGTTGGAGCCTCATGGCCCTCCACACTCCAATTCACCCCCGGACCTTGCCACTTCTATAGAGCCCTAAAGCCGCCTAGACTCTGATATAGCTCCCAGTTGTCCTCACAATCCTTCCCCAAGCCTTGCCCGGGTCTTTACCCGGGACCCCACAGCGAAGTTCCGCACTACAGCCCGCGGTTTTAGCCTGGTCTGCATTTCACTGCCAGGAATGGGCATGGTGACCCACGGGGACTGTCTTGGCAGCCACATCTGACACCTGGTAGTGTCACTCCTCTCTCCTAGAGAGCTTGCTATGTCACCACAGCTCCAAGCCAACATTTTTTAGAGATCTGGATTCTGTTTGTGCAATAGTAGTGTCACCACTGGCCACCTCGGGGCAATTCAGCTTACATAGAATCCTAATGAAATAAAGCGGGACATTCACATTATTTTGGCAGTCCCATCTACACGGGCCCAAGCCCTTCACATGGCCAGGGTGACCACATTGCTCATAGGTACAGAATGTCTTTATGGTCACTGGAAGTTTCTGTCACTGTGGTCCACACATGATCTCTATCTTGTTTTCCACAGCCCCTTCTAGGTCCTCCAGGACCTAAGAAATACTGCTTTCTCCTACCTCAGGGCCTTTGCAGAGGCTGTTCCTGCTGCCTGCAATGCCCTTCCCCAGGACATGTCACCTCAAATGTCACATTCCCACCGAGGGCTCCCTGATGACCCCATTTAAAAAGTGACGCTTTCCACAGAGTTCTGACCATCCCTTGGCACATTTACGGGCACTTTTAGGGAAGTAACAAGAGGGTGGGAACATTGCTCAAAGATGAAGGAACAGGTCTCTTTGGGTTGGAGGTAACTCTTTTGAAAAGTCAGTAACAGCCTGCAGCCCAGGTCACTGGAGTCTGGAGGCCCCAAACACAGAGGCATTTTGCTGAAGACGGTCCAGAGGTTTTGACTCGTACATGTGAGGTTTCTCCTGCTGGCTTCGGGACCCAGAAACCTTCCTCCCCAACTTTTGAACCCTAGTGCACCATGCAAGATCAAAGGACTCTGGGGCTAAAGCTTCGGGGTCCTACCCGGCCCAGGAAAAGTGAGCGAGGGTGGAGGGGAAGCCTCTTAGAATCGGCTCCCAACAGTGGGAGTGGGATGTATCCCACAGTGTCCCCAGCACCTATCAGTGTCCCCAGCAGAATAGTACCGGTTGGGTAACTCTGGGGATGGGCAAACCAGACCCCAGGTGCACTTGGTGAGGAACATTCCAGAGCGATATGGTGTCTGGAGGGAGCCGAGGATCGAGTAAAGAAGAGCAGAAGGAACCATGGAGGGGAGGCCCCGAGGTCCCCCCGACTCCGGTGGGGGCTGTCAGACCCATAGCCCGCACTTGCAGGAACAGGTGCAACCTGCAGGAAGCCCTAACTGGTGTAGGAGGGTGGGACACGGCTGCCCCCTGGCGGCGGAAAAGGCAACGGCAGTGCAAGTTGCGCAATGCGGATTCTTGCATGGTGCGTTCCTGGGTGATGACAGGTGACATACTCCTTAGAAAAGGACAAGATGTATGTGTTAGATATTCAGGACTGCTGGCTAGAAAAGGCCCCTAAGGCAGAAGCCTGAGGATGACGGAGGCGACAGAGGCCTGAGGCAGGCACATGCCTGAGGGAGACCAGCCGACAGGCCCCAGCAGTGCGAAGCTGAAACTACAAGGCAAGTTTACGACCATCAGCGTGCAATTACCGGCCCTTCTGCGCAAGGACCTTGTGGAAGCAGCGTCTTCAAGAGACTATTTAGCCTCCTGTGGTGGCACACGTGTGCAATCCGAGTACTCAGGAAGCGAAGACGAGGGGGGGGGCGGCAGGAATTCCAGGTGAGCACGCCTTTAATCCCAGCACTCAGGAGGCAAAGGCGGGAGGATCTTTGTGAGTTCGAGACCACCCTGGTCTACAGAGTGAGGTCCAGAACAGCCAAGGCTACACAGAGAAACCCTGTCTCGATCAACCAACAAACCAACAAACCAACCAACCAACCACCCACATCAACAAACACAAAAACAAAAGGGCTGCTCTGCTGGCTAATAGAATTCTAGAGACTGGAAATTAGGAAGAGGAAGCTGAGCGTAGGTGGTCCAGGCAGATTTTCTGGATGTCCTTGCCAGGGACATTGTCTATCCTGCCTGTCGTTTGCCTTAGACAAGGACATCAGTGCTGTAGATTTTTGGGGTGGTGAGTAGGTGCAATAAAGGGAAGTGAGGGCTCTGGGGAGCTATGACGTCACTCCTTCCGGTATCTAAAGTCTGGTGCCCACAGAGAACCCAGATCCTTAGTGCAGAGTCCTCCCACTTCCCCCAGGATGCTCCTCCTAGCGTTCAGGTACGCAGAGGCGTCGTCCCACAAGAGCTGCAGAGGCCCCATTGTACCACGAGGGGGCGATCAGGGATCGCGAGTTCAAACCACAGGCTGCTCACCACGGTTTCCCGTGCCACTGGCGTGAAAGCCCAGATCAGGGCCTGAGCCTGGCTGCCTCAGCAGCTCCTTGGGATTTTCGAGAAATGCATATTCCTGATCCCACCCTGAATCTACTGAACCTTTTCGGGGATGGGCTTCCTAAATTTGTTTTTGTCGGAAGCTACCCAGGTGACGGCCACTCTGGGGACTGAATCTCTCTCTCTGTATCTCGAGATCTGATGCTTGGTTCCGGCCTACCCAGTCGAACCACCCACGGAGCCTTTCAGTTTTAAGACAGTCTCTCTCTGAAGCCCTGGCTGTGTAGACCAGTGTGGCCTCCAGGTCACAGAGATGCCCTGCTTCTCTCTTAGAGTGCTGGAATTAAAGGTGCACACCACCACGCTCAGCCACGCCCTTCTCGACCCTTGGAGCTATAGAAATACTGCGCTGTATTGGGCCCCAAAGCAGCGTCCTGGGAGCGGGTGGCTGAGCTCTGCCCTGGGTCCTCATTTAGGAGTGGAGTGTGTGCTTTGATGAGGAAGCCCCTCCAATAACATAAAAGCAAGAAAAGGAACTGGAGAACGCAGGAAGTCTCCGCTGTTTTGGGGCGACGGCTCTCTCCTCTTTGTGGGTTCTGTGTCATTTCTTCTCTTTTGCTGACAGCGAGAGGCGATGGGGTGGGTACAGATAGAGGCTGAATTGGAGCCTGGCTTCTGGGGCTTCCTCCCTGGACACCCCTTTCCTTCAGAACTAAAAGTTCAGAAGCGTCAACCAGCCAGGTTCGGGACTGGTTGGCAGGCACCACCTACACCTCCTTAGATGATAAACATACCCAACGCTCTCAGTACTAGTTTATTCTGTGTTGCTGTAATAAAATATTTACCGGAAAAAGTTTATGAGAGAATGCTTTATACTGGCTTATAATTTCAGAGAGATCTCGGTCCATCATGCTGGGGAAGGCATAGCCGCATGCAGGAGTAGCAGAGCCTGTTGCCATGGTGACACACCAAGAAGCCGAGATACAACTGCTAGACCACAGGGTGATAGGACCTTCAAAAGCCTGCCTTTTCAGAAAGTATCCTACTATGCCAGCCAGACCTCCTAAAGGCTGATGTTAGAGGGCTGGAGGCCGGAGACTCATGAGTTCAAGGCCAGCCTCAGCTCCATCTGCCATAGGACTAGGGAGATGGCTCAGCTGGTAAAGTGCTGGCCACACAAACATGAGGACCCGAGTTTGGATTCCCCGTATCCAGGCACAAAGTTGGGCGTGGCCTGCAGGTAGGTGTACTCCCAGCACTGCGTGCACAGAGACGGGTGTGTCCCTGGTTCTGGTCAGCCAGTTCAGTCAACTTGATAGGCTCCTGGTTAGTGGGAGTCCCTGCCATACACAGGACAGGAGGTGGTGGCGCACGCCTTTAATCCCAGCAGCGGGGGGGGGGCCGAGGCAGGTGGATCTTTGTGAATTCGAGGCCAGCCTGGTCTACAAAGTGAGTTCCAGGACAGGTTCCAAAACAATACAGAGAAACCCTGTCTCAAAAAACCAAAACCAAAACCATAACCAAAAAACCCACTGGGTGCTTTTCCAGGTTCAATTCCTAGCACCCATGCCAAGTAGCGTTCAACTGCCTGTAACTTTCAGGGAGCTCAGACACCATCTTCTGGCCTCAAGGAAGACACCCCCATGTCAACTCCTGGCTTCTGCATGCACACGTATGTGCACACTTGTACATACTCACATGTATGAATACACAACCACACACACACATACACACACACACTAACTTTGTGCTGGTTAGTTTTGTGTGTCTACTTGATTGACACAAGCTAGAGTCATCAGAGAGGAAGGAGCCTTAGCTGAGGCAAGGCCTCCATGAGATCCAGCCATAAGACATTTTCTCAGTTAGTGATCAGTGGAGGAAGGGCCCAGCCCATGGTGGGTGGGGCCATCCCTGGACCTGGACCGGTGGTCCTGGGTTCTATAAGAAAGCTGGCTGAGCAAGTCAGGGAAGCGAGCCTGCTTCCAGGTTCCTGCCCTGCTTGAGTTCCTGTCCCGACTTTGTTCTGTGAACAGTCACCATACGGTCATGGTGTTTCTTTTTATATTATTTTATTTATTGTGCATACAGCCTTCTGCCTGCATGCCAGCAGAGGGTACCAGATCTCTTTTTTTTTTTTTTTTTTTTTTTTTTTTTTTGGTTTTTACGAGACAGGGTTTCTCTGTATTGTTTCAGAGGCTATCAGTCCAGCCCGGCCTCGAACTCACAGAGATCCGCCTGCCTCTGCCTCCCGAGTGCTGGGATTAAAGGCGTGCGCCACCACCGCCCGGCGAGGGTACCAGATCTCATTCAAGGTGGTTGTGAGCCACCATGTGGTTGCGGGGAATTGAACTCAGGACCTCTGGAAGAACAGTCAGTGCTCTTAACCGCTGAGCCATCTCTCCAGCCCACGGTCATAGTGTTTCACTGCAGCAATAGTAACCCTAACTAGCGGTCTCAACAAGTTGCTCTTGGTCGGAGTGTTTTCTTGCCTCTGCGCAAAGATGGTGAGGGCACTGGGCTTGGGAGGAGTGAAGCTGAGTGGAAGACCCTTGAGTGCAAGAGGAAGCCTGACGGAACAGAGGACCAGAGGACGAGATGACCGCCATCAACCGTCTCCGTCCCTGAGGTGGGTGGGTTAGCACAGCATCCTGGAAAAAGAGAGTCTAGGAGGAACCCATACACCACCGTTTTGGTTAGCTTTGTTTATTATGACTGTGACTATTATTTGACACGTGCTAGGCTTACCTGAGAAGAGGAAACCCCCACTGAGAAAAGCCCCCATCAGACTGGCCTGGAGGCAAGCCTGTGGGTTTTCTTGATTGACGCAGGGGGGCTCCGCCCACTGTGGGCGGTGCCACCTCTGGGTTGATGGTTCTGGGTGAGAGCAAACTGAGCAAGCCAGTAAGCAGTGTTCCTCCGCGGCCTCAGCCTGAGCCCTGATCTGGGCTCCTGACCCAACTTTTCTCAGTGAGGGACTACATCTATAAGCTGAGATAAACCCTTTACTCCTCCAGCTGTCTTTTTGGTCACGGTGTTTATCGTAGCAATGGAAGAACACGCTAAGATAACCCCTAAACCTTCTCAACTCACATATGCAGTAGGGTAAAAGAGAAACCTAAAGTCTAGCCAGGTGTGGTGCTACAGGCCTGCCATCCCAGGACTTGGGGTCCTGATGCAGGAGGGCCTTGAATTCAAAGCCAGCCTGCACCAGATAGTCAGAGCTCATCTCAAAGCAAAAGAAATGGAGCCGGTCATGCTGACTCACATCTGCCATAGCCCTGGGGAGGAGATCAGAAGCTCAAGGCCATCCTTGACTAATAGCAAATATGAGGCGAGCCTGGACAAGGTAACATCTCATCTCCAAGCAGAAACAAAAACCAACAAAACACGAAAGAAACCCAAAGGCTAAAGAGAGAGGAAGAAAATGGAAAAATAACCCTGAACACAAAGTAGAGATGGCTAGAAAGGTTGGTGTTTGCAGAGATGTGTTGTCTTGGAAACTGCTCTGCAAGGTGTCGTCATGGAAACCGCAGGACCATGTGTCGCCATGGAAACCAGGACTCCTATTAGGGATGCATTAGAACCATTTTTAAATCCTTTGGCAACCAGATTGGCTCCTTAACGTGAGATCTGGTAGGCAATTGATTCCACTAAACACTGTGTGTATATAAACACATGCATATATATTTTTTATGTATTTTTCCTACATGAACGTGATTTATTTATATATTTTTTTATCTTATTGACATTAGGTTCTCCCAACGCCTAGGCTGGCCTCAAATTGGAAATGTAAGTAAGGATGACCTTGAACTCTTAATCCATGTACCTAGGGATTAGAGGTGTGCACCACCACACTGGCTTTTAATGAATTTTTGAGACAGAGTCATTATGTAATCCTGATTGGCCCAGTCCTTGATTTGCAGCCCTGGCAATTCTTGAACTTTCTGGGATCCTCCTGCTGGGATAACAGGCACACACCACTATGCCTGGCTTTATAAATACATTTTAATTTAATTTATTTATATTTACATCTCCCCCTTTTCTTTTTGATTTGTTTTTCAAGGCAGGTTTTTTTTTCTGTGCAGTCCTGGATGTCCTAGAACTCACTATGTAGACAAGTCTGGCCTCAGACTCTGAAATCCTGCATTTTTATTGTTATTTAATGTATATAATTGCTTACCTGTGTATATGTATGTATGTAACCAAGGTGACCAGAAGAGGAAGCCATACTCCTTGGACTTACAGATGGTTGTGAATTACCCCGTAGGTGGTGGGAATGGAACCTGGGTCCTATTCAAGAGCAGCCAATGCTTTTATCCATTGAGCCATCACTCCAGTCTGAGAGTGTAGGGAGCGATCTTGGGAGCCTGTAGTGCTGACCATGCCCAAACAGGCGTGGTCACAGGTATGTAGAAGATGCGGGGAATAAAGATTGGAGAGGAAGGGGACTCCCTTTCTCTTCTCTTGGGGTTCCAGTTGGATCTCAGAAGGCAATGGAGCACTGACCTTGGGTTCTTGGCTTCTCATGTAAGTGATTTCTCCCTAATAAAATGTCATACAACATCCCTATCCTGTGTAGGTTAATCTTCCTCGATATGAGAGCCTCACTATGTAGCATTGGCTGGCCTGGAACTCACAGAGATCCACCTGCCTCAGCCTCCCAAGTTCTGGGATCTAAGGTGTGAGCCACCACACCTGGCCATAAACACATTTTAACTTTTTTTCTCTTAAACATCATTATCTGCTAAGTATTTTGGATTTTGTCACAAGTCTGTGTGTGTATACATAATATTGGATAAATTTTCACTTAAACTATTTTTATGTCTCATTTTTATTGTTCTAAAGTCGTTCCTTTTCTTTTTTACATATTCCAACCACATGGAATGACAATTAGGCACAGGTTTTGGGACCGTAAGATGGCTCAGGGAGTAAAAGTGTCCCCTGCACAAGCCAGGGTCTGAGTTCAATCCATGTGGAAGGGGAGGGCTGACTCCAGCAAGCTGTCCTCCAGTCTCCACATGTGTGCTTTGGCACACGCACAATCTTACACAAATGTCACACACACTCTCTCTCACACACACACACACTCACAAATGACATCAATCTGAAATGCAGAGTTTTAGAAATACGACTTTCTCCAAAGCCCACATTGCATTGAAACGGTATAATCAAAAGGCATCATTTTTGTGTTTGTGTGTTTAGAGGAGGGTTTGCTTGCATGTGTGTGCTTGTGGTGGCCAGAGGTCAATGCTGGTACCTTCCAGATTGTTTTCCACTTTATTTAGAGACAGGATTTCATTATGTAGACCAGGCTGGCCTCTAACTCAGAGATCCACCTGTCTCTGCCTCCTGAGTGCTGGGATTAAAGGCGTGTGCCACCATGAATTTTTGAGGCAGGGTCTCTCGCTGGCCTGGATCATGCTCTGTGGTAGACTGGCTGGTCCAGGGGCTCCTACGGTACTGTTCACATCTGTTTCCAGCACTGGAATTACAGCCCTGTGATGCCCTACCTTTCTTCTTTCATGGGTGCTGGGGATCTGAACTCAAGTCTTCATGTTTACACAGCAAGTATTTTACTCACATAGCCACTGTCCTCGCCCTTCAGTTTCCTTTTTGGTTGTTGTTCTTGTTTTTTGAGACAGGGTTTCTCTGTGTAGTCCTGGCCGTCCTGGAACTTGCTCTGTGGACCAGGCTGGCTTTGAACTCAGAGGTCCGCCTGCCTCTGCCTCCACAGTGCTGGGATTAAAGGTGTGTGCCACCACACAGAGTTTTTCAGTTGTTCTTCATATATGGGGTAAATCTCAGTTTCTGGGGTCACAGAAGTTTCCTTTTTTGTAGTTACATGTGATACAGTTGGTCAAATTCAAACATAAACCCAGTCTTGGGAATTTTCATCTAAGTCACCTCAACTTTAGTAAACTTTATAAGATAAGTAGCGCAGGGCGTTGGTGGTGCACGCCTTTAATCCCAGCACTCAAAAGGCAGAGTCAGTCGGATGTCTGTGAGTTCGAGACCAGCCTGGTCTACACGAGCAAGTTCCAGGACAGCCTCCAAAGCCACAGAGAAACCTGTTTCGAAAAAAAAAAAAAAAAACAAGTTGCCAGACGTGGCCAGACGTGGTGTCACATGCCTTTAATACTAACACCCAGGAAGTAGAGCCAGGTGAATCTCTGGGGGGTCCAGGCCAGTCTGGTCTACACAGAGAGTTCTAGGACAGCCAGGGCTGCACAGTAGGACCCTTTTTGGTGTGTGAGAGTGAGACGTGTGTGTGTGTGCATAATTTTAAAAAGGAAAAAAATAGTAGAGAAACTGTCCCCGGATGGATGTAGGATACTGACTTTTTTTGCCCAGTGGACATCCGAACAGTCTCAGTGACCACATCTTTTGTCCATTTTTTCTATTAAGCCCAACTGCAGGGTCACAGCAGGCCTCAGGATGCCTAGCAACCAGTGGCCGGTTGCCATGGAGACTGCCGGGGATGCAGATCTGAGAGCCTTGTGCAGGAATCAAGTGCGCATGAGCACTCTTGAACACCAGCTTGGTGGTGCTCAGGGGATCAAGGCTGTGTACCTGTGCAGACTGGGCTGGATCTGGGCATAGGCACAACTTCCTGGCTCTTCGGGGCCGGGGCCCTGCTCTCAGCGGGCAACTGCTCTCCAGCCTCCTGTCCTTGGCCTGCCTGGACTGCCAGAAGCCGGGGTGGCCAGACCATCCCTGTGAACCTGCAGAGCTCCAGGCTGCAGGAAGGGGCCAAGGCCAATTGCACCATATTCGGAACACGTGAGCAACTGGGGCCCAGGTTAGGGAGGAGCATCTTGGTGGGGAAGAGCTAGGCCTCTTGCAAGGCAGCCATCTTCCAGGGAATCTGACCTCACTGTCTTGTCACCTGCGAGATTCATATTTTGACCACCTCACCTCCATCAGCTCCTTCATAGATTCTCTGTTCCCAGCACAGGCAGAGCAGGAAGATGTCGGAACCTAAGGCCATGAGCCTGCTGGAGGACTGGTGTAGAGGCATGGGACTGGACATCCACAGGTCTCTGTTGGTCACTGGCATCCCCGAACACTGTGGTCACGCAGAGATCGAGGAGACCTTGAACGGGGTCCTCTTGCCCCTGGGCACGTACCGTGTGCTCAACAAAATTTTTTTGCGGCAAGAGAACGTCAAGGCTGCTCTCGTTGAGGTTAGCGAGGGTGTGAATCTCAGCTCTATACCCCGCGAGTTCCCAGGGAGGGGCGGTGTCTGGAAAGTGGTCTGCAGGAACCCCACCCAGGACGCTGAGTTCTTAAAAAATCTCAACGAATTCCTGGATGCCGAAGGGCGCACTTGGGAGGATGTGGTGCGCCTCTTGAGGTTTAACCACCACCCGGCATTCCCGAACTCAAGCCAGCCTTCACCGAACTGGGCAGAAGCCATGGGGTTGCTCCTGGGCGCGGTGGTACAGGTTATCTTTTACATGGATGCTGAAATCCGTAATCGGGAGGAAGAAGCGAGGGCTGAGGAGTCTGAGTTGAGGGCGTCTTGGGCTTCAACAGCGACGAAGACGGTAAAGAAGGAGCCCGGGCTGGGCGTTGAGGTGGGCTCGGCTTTCAAGACAGAGGACAGAAACTATTGGAGGAAAGCAGAGGACCGCGGCGACCCTCCAAAACCTCTAGTTCACAGGGCTGGAGGTAAGCTTCGTTCCAGGAGAAGGAAGCAGAAAAAAAATCCTAAGCAAGAACCAATATACTGGAGAAAACCCCACGGCAACAATTACTACAACAAGGCGTATTTGGAAAGCCCTGAAGCTGCGCCTGCCCAAAGCTCAGAGACCCCAGACTCTGTTAAGAGCAACAAAAAACCCTTCGTGAAGCAGGAGGAGACAGTTTGGAAGAAGAAACGAGTCTGGAAGGATCCCAACGATCTTCCTCAGCGTACACTGCCCACAGCAGAGAGTCCTGGGAGTCTAGAGCACTCAGATCAAGACGGTGAACCTGAAAACCCTCCCAAGAAGAAAGCCATGACCTGGGCTTCACATAAGATCCCTGCCCCCACGAGGAAGAAGAGGAAGATGAGCGTGGGCTCTCTCTCTTGTGTTCTGGTTGATTCCGAAGCCACCAAGAGCAAAGCTGTGATTCCTAAGAAAGGGCCTAGTTCTAGAAGGGCCATGTCAGCTCAAAGGGCTCCTGGGGGGGCCCAGTCGGCTGATGCCCCCGCGTCAACATCCAGGGCTCGGAAGTCAGGAGGCTTCCCTCGTGTCTCCAAAGGTGAATGGATATAGAAATGACTTGGTTAGTTGAAGTGGGGTTGCAGTGGGGGTGGGGGGTGGGGGGAGGAGGCAGAGAGGCTCACAGGACCTCAGTGCATTACGGAAAGTGTTCACACTCTCCCAGGTGAGGGTCAGTGAGGGAGAGCCTGGGCCTCCCTCCTCGAGCCCTTGTTAGGATTGGGGTCACCCACTTCCCTCCAAAGCAACGTAATGGTTTGGGGGCATGTAGTCGTTGCACACACATGTAATCCCAGCACTTGGGAGACTCAACTTGGGGTTGAAAGTCTGAGATCCGGCTGGACTGCATAGAAACTTATGATTTGAGATTCTGTTGTGGGTTAGGGTGCAGGACTCTAGGGTACTGATGTTTCTAGGGCCTGGCTGGGTGGGATGGGTGAGGCCATGACCATGGACTCAGGAGGTTCCCAGGCAGTAAATATCTAATTATGCCTATCCCTGTCCCCCTTGTTGGGATGTTCTGATTTATCCACAGATCCCAGCAATCTATGATTCGGGGAGCCCTGTACCCGAGGAGACGGAAGAGTACCAAGGAAGATGTTTCAAGTCGCGAGCAAACTTTTTCTTTGTGGTTGACTTTGGACTATCTGGGGGCCCGTGATATGTGTGCGTGTCTGGCCCACACAGGTAACAGATGCCAGGCCTTAGGAGGGGAGGATTGTCGGGGGCGGGTACCCTCTTTGTGTGTTTTCCTCAGCTGGCACTTCTTCTCAAAGGCAGAAGAGGTGATGAGTAGCTTCAGAGAATTCCAGAACATTCTTTCCCCTTTGCCCAGAGGGGCTTCATGGTTATGCTTACCTACATTGAGCCTTTATTGTCCTCTGCCTCCTTCCTTTTCTTCTGGAGGCCCAGGCCGCCTGCAGAGCCTGAAGTCCAGAAGGACAGGGTGGCTGTTTTGTCCCTTGTGTTGTCAGCATTTGGTAAGTCAGGCCTTGCTCTTCAAAGCTTCGTGTGTGTGTTTTTCAAGTTCTGTCCTACAGCAACCTAACTGGAAGTTGTTTAGGTCCCAGGAGTTAGTTCTGGGGAAACAAAACAAAACAAACATCTGTTTGCCCTTGAATTCTTCAGATTTCAGAGTCTTTAAAGAAACTGAGGGCAGGACAGATGGCTTAGTGGGTAAGAGGGCTTGCAATACAAACACAAAGACCTGCGTTCTAGTCCTTAGGAGGCTTGGAAAAAGGCCAGGCATGACTGCCCTGGCCCGTAACACCAGCATCGGGTCTTGGATACAAGTAGAGCCCAACAACTTGCTGGGCAGCCAACATATCTGAAATAATAAGCTTCTGGGCTGGGGAATCTCCCAGTGAGGGGCTAGGGGTGTGGCTCAGTGGTAGAGCCCCTGCTAGTATATGGAAGGCTCTGGGTTCTAGTTTCAGAACCAATAAAAAACAAAATGGAATAAAAATGGCACTTTAGTTCCCAAATGGGTTAATGTTCTCTCAAGGAAGCCCGTGGTGGGTAGGAGAGGTTGGTAGATAAAAATCAGTTTTTAGCTCTAATTCTGTTGACTTCTATGAGACCCCCTGTCTTTGAGGGGGGATCAGTTACTTACATAATAGTAAGAAAGGGAAAACCTCTCTCTTTTCAAAAGTGTATTTAAAATAGACTGATTTCTGTCCTCTGATTTCTGCCATGTGAAGGAGTCTGGATGGTACGTCGCTACATCCTAAGGATTTTTTTTTAATGTTAAAAGGTATGAAAGAGAGGCTAGAGATATGGTTCAGGGAGAAAAGGGGCTTGTCACTAAGCCCCAGTCTCTGGGTTCAATCCCTGGCATCTACATGATGGAAAGAGAGAAGCAACTCCAGAGAGTCCCCCTCTGCCCTCCACAATCATTCCATGGCATGAGCATACCAGTGAATAAATATAATTAAAAAGAGAAGCAACTCCAGAGAGTCCCCTCTGGCCTCCACAATCATTCCATGGCATGATCATACCAGTGCATAAATATAATAAAAAAGTTTGACATTCAAAATAAAATAATGACACACGGATGTAATCCCAGCATGTGGAGGCTGAGGCAGGAGAATTGCTATTAGTTCAAGGCCTGCTTGGGCTAAAGAGTAAGACCCTGTCTCAAAGTAAATAAGTAAATAGGAACTTTTTTTTAAAGTGTAGAAAAGTGATAACTATGTTGTAATCCAAAATACTGGAATATTCCCTTGTGTGCATAGAATAAGTGTAACTAGTCATTGGCACTGTACATTGTATATAATCGCATTTTTCTCTCTGTGTGTGTGTGTTCATCTGTGCAGATGAGCACGTGTGTGGAGGCAGATTGCCTTCGGTGTTCACTCCTCAGCCACCAACGGCCTTTTCATGAGACACAGTCTTCTCACTGGCTTGAAACTGGCTAGGAGGCTGGCGGGGCAGAGGATGCTAGGGATCTTCCGGTCTGTCTCCCCAGCACAGGGGCTTCTAGCCTTGCTACAATGTTGCCTTTTTTTTTTTTTTTTTACTGCACAGGTTTTGGGGATCAAATTCAGATCTTTGTCCTTGAAACATAGTTTCCTAACTGAGGTGTTGTGCACCACGCCTACTCTCTAATTAAAGTTTCTTCTAGATGTGAACTTTGAGGAGAAAGGTACGAAGGAAGTGGACGAATTTGGTCGGGAAGTGGAGGGATTTGGTCCCCTGCGCGTTCCATAACATAAAGTCCAAAGTGAGTCTGCAGCTGTGCGTTTCCCTTTCCTGTTCAGCTGTGATTGACAACAGAGCCCCTTGCTAATCTGGGCTGACCTGATACCCAGTTGGGTTTCTGTCCTGGATTTCCTTCCAGCCCTTGTGAGTTTTCAAGCTCTCTTCCCGCTTCAGTTTTCTTGATTCAGAAACTGTCATCAGTTGTTAGACATTTGTCAGTGAATCCGTCAACCACCAGGCCCAATTCTCATGATAATCCCGAGACACCTTCGTTGAAATAGTGCATTGATGTAACAATCAATGAATTTAAATGTGTGAGTGTAAAATAAAGTTGTGCAAATGAAGTCTCTGTGTAGTCTGTCTTGGAGGAAGGTGTGTGCAGGGTGGCGCTTGGAGGAAGTACTTCTCTGATGAGCAGTAAGGGATTCATTCACATGACCATTGTTAATTTCCCATAAGAGAAGAAGAAGCTATCTGTTATTGGTGGTTGTGATCTGTCTTCCATGCCCCCAATGGCCCTATGCTGTCTAGAATAGGTAAAAAGTGATGTTGGATGATCTGAAATTATTAGTTTATTTAGTTACTTATGTTTTGGTACTAGGGATTGAATCTAGGACCTCACACATATTAAGTAGTCACCCCACTGCTGAGCCACGGCCCCAGTCCCTCACTGGGGGATTCTAGGCAGGGGCTCTACCACTGAGCCACACCCCAGCCCCTCACTGGGGGATTCTAGGCAGGGGCTCTACCACTGAGCCACACCCCTAAGCCCTCACTAGGGGATTCTAGGTAGGGGTTCTACCACTGAGCCATATACCTATCCCTTTTTTTTATGTTTTATTTCCAAGCTAAGGTTTCAGTGTGGTCAGTGTAGCTCAGGCTGGCCTTGAACTTGTGACCTTTCTGCTTCAGTCTCCCAAGTAGAAAAAATTATAGACCTGTGTCATCGGGCCTGGATGATACCAGTTTATTGTACAAGTATCTGGAGAGTGAGAACTCTTTCTTCCTTCCTGCCCCTTGGCAGAGACAGAGGGCTTTAAACAGTTTATGGTCTGGGAGCATGGTGTGTGTGTGTGGGAACATACGCCAACACACTCCGTGCTGCTCAGAGGACAGCTTTGTGGGACCAGTTTTCTCTTTCCACCTTGACATGGGTTCCTGGGATTTAATACAGGCCTTTGAGGAAGCACCTTTAACCTGCTGAACCATTTCACCTGTCCCAAGGCAGAAGCCTATTTTTGGAGGGGAGATGTGTATGAGTTGGAGCACAGTCTTAACTTACATAGTCTTGGCTGGCCTGCAGCTCCCAGAGATCCACATGCCTCTCTCTGCCTTCTCAAGTGCTGGGATTAATGACATGAACTACCATTCCGAGCCTTAGAAGTCTTTTAGCTGGCTGTGGTGATGCACGCTTTTAATCCCAGCACACAGGAGGCAGAGACAGGCAAATCTTTGAGTTCTAGGCCAGCCTGTTCTTCGAAGTGAGTTCCAGGTCAGCCAGGGCTGCAGAGAGAAACCCTGGTTTGCAAACTAAAACAAAAGTCTTTTAGTTAAAGATTTCTCCTGCTGAAGGCCCCCCATGCTAGGGGCTCCCGAAGTAAGGAGTCCTCCATGCCAGAGTCCCCTGCAGTCTCTATTATTATGCTGCTTTGTGGTCTCAACTGTAAAATCAGCATTTCTTGGCATTGTGCCTTGGAAATAGCATCTTGAGGATTTGTGTCTACATGTTCATGTGTGTGGGTACATTGGTGTGTGTGTGTTTGTGTGTGTGTCTGTGTACAAGATCACATGGGACACACCTTAGTGTGTGCAGTTCATGCGGGTACACCTTAGTGTGTGTGGATACATGTTCATGTGGGATATTCCTCTGTGTGTGTGTGTGTGTGTGTGTGTGTGCATGCGTGAGTGCATATAGGCCAGAGGTTGATGTTAGATGGTTTCTCAAATGCTCTCCACTTTACTTTGTGGGATAAGATCTCTCACTGAGCCGGGCTGTGGTGGTGCATGCCTTTAATCCCAGCACTCGGGAGGCAGAAGCAGGCGGATCTCTGTGAGTTCGAGGCCGGGCTGGACCAACACCCTCCAAAACAATACAGAAAAACCCTGTCTCGTAAAAAACCAAAAAAAAAAAAAAAACAAACAAACAAACAAACAAAAAAAAAGATCTCTCACTGAAGTTCACTGACCGGGTGAGGCTCGCCCTCTAGTGAGCTCTGTGGATTCTCCTGTGTTTGTTCCCCAACACTGCTGCACCTGGTTTTTTGTTTGTTTGTTTGTTTTTGTTTTTCCAAGACAAGGTTTTTCTATGTAGCCCTTAGTAACCTAGAACTGGCACTGTAGACCAGGCTAGCCTCAACTCAGAGATCTGCCGGCCTCTGCCTCCTGAGTGCTGGGATTAGAGGTGAGGGTCACCACCACCCAGCTTGCTGTGTCTGGATTCTTATGTGGATGCTGGAGACTCGCACTCAGGTCCTCATGCCTGCATGGCAAGTACATCACTGACTGATGCCCAGAGCTGACATCTTTACGACGCTCTGGGGATTGTGATGAACGCAGACGGGGAACTGCAACTACAGGGAAGTGGGATCCAAGGGTCAGGTTGAGCTCCTGTGAAAAGTGAAAGGGGCGTGTCAAGGAATGAAGAGACCTAGGGCTGAACAGGAGTCGATCTGAAGCACTGATTTCGATTGGTCGGCCATCTTTGGGCAAGGTCTTCAAAGAACACCTATGATGGTCATCTGTTGGGGTCTGTTAAGCTCATTAGGAAACTGAGAAAATCCCCTTGGGCCTAATGGGGGGAGGTCCATGGATGGGACCCAGGTCCAGGGGATGACATGAAGGCCATCTCAGAGCCAAACTGCCAGTCAGCCGGAGAGAGCGCCAGCCTTCTGGAGCTGGCCTGCTAGTGTGCTGAGAAATAGCAGAGGGTGGAGAAAATGGGGGGGGGGGGACAAGACGCAATCAGCTTCTGTTTCATTCTGTAGCCCTTGTCAGACCCTGTCCCATTCTGTAGGCTACTAGCCCATTCTGTAGGCCAGACTAGACTTCTCTATGCATCCCAGGCTGGTCTTAAACTCATTGTAATTCTCCTGCCTCAGGCTCCCAAGTGTTAGGGTTATAGGTGCAAACCACCATGACCATCTTGTATTGTTCAGTGCTGGAGTTTTGAACCTGGGATCCCTGTACATGTTAGGTGAGTGTTTCAGTACTAAGCCCTGGTCAATATCCAACCCTCCACACCTTTTGAGACAGGACCTCACAGAGCCCAGGCTGGCCTTGAACTTAATATGTAGCCTAGAATGACCTTGAACTTCAGATCCTCCTGCCTCTGCCTTCTAAATGTTGAGAGGATGAATGCAAGTTTATGCAGGCCTGGGGATAGAACCCAGGGCTTCATGCACACTAGGCAAGCACTCTTCCCACTCAGCTACAGCCCCAGCCCTGATGACAACATCTAATCTTTTGTTATTAGCTCCATACCAAGGAGAAAAATGTCCTGCTTCAGCCGCCTGAGTGCTGAGATCACCATGGCTGGCCAAGCCACGCCCACATACTTTTATTCTCTTGTTTTCTGTATTTTGAGGGACTGGGGTTGAATGCAGGACCTCTTAGGCACTAGACAGGTGCTCTGCCACTGAACCCCTCTCCCAGCCCCTCACTCTTGGGGCCCTGGACCGGGGCCGTACCTCTGAGCTGCACTCCTAGGTCACTGAGCTGCCCAGGCCGGTGTTGAACTCAGCCTCCAGGGTGTCTGGGATTTCGTACAGGTACCCCCAGACCCAGCTTGAAGCATATGCCTTTTTTTTTTCTTCTTCTTCTTCTAGCTTCTGAGACAAGGTTTCTCTGTGTGTATCCCTGCCTGCCCTGGAACTCACTCTATAGACCAGGCTGGACTCGAACTCAGAGAGTTCCACCTGCCTCTTGTCTGCCGGGTGCTGGGATTAAAGGCATGGGCCATCACCACCTGCTGCCACATGTCTTTTAAACATATCTTCCGGGGGCTGAAGAGATGGCTCGACAGTTAAGAGCACTGGCTACTCTCCCAGAGGACCTGGATTGGGTTTCCAGCACCCATATGGCTCAAAACCATCTGGAACCCCAGTTCTGGGGCATTGCAGGTACTGCATGCATGTGGTGCATAGACACGTATCAGTAAAAATTAAAGAATGTTCCTACATTAAACCACATTCTGAGTTTGAGGCCAGCCTGGTCTACAGAGCAAGTTCCAGGACAGCTGTTAAAACAATACAGAGAAACCCTGTCTTGAAAAAAACAAAACAAAACACACACATGCACACACACACCCGAAACTGCAAACGTGACAGAGCCACACGCCTGTGTTATGTGTGGAGGCCACATCTCCTCCCTCTTGCTGCCCTTTGCGTGAACCCGGCTGCAGAGCTTGCACGGGTCATTTCCCATCACCATTTTGTTATATAACGTCAGTGTTAGTTAGAACAGGCTTTGCCTTCAAAGATCAGTTTTGAAAATTCCAGCGTGAGCTTTTTATCTATTCTGGTAAAGCATGAAAAGCCAGGGGGGCTGTGGGGTGGGCAGATCAAGGACCGAGCCAGTGAGAGAAAGTCTCAAGCCAGGGGCAGAGGCGCCTGCAGATATTGTGGGAATGTCCTAGAACAGTGGTAAATGTGTAACCAATGTCAGCAATTAGAGGCCCTTTCCATGCTCCAGGAGAGCTCGGGATGTTTCTCTTTTTGCTTTTTGATCTTCCATGAGAAGTAGGTACAGAATGTTCCCGATTAAGTCTGAAGCATTATCATTACTTTCTCAAGACTGTGTGGACTTAACTGAGCTTCCTTTTATCTGTGCAAGGCAAGCTGTTTCTAAAACGGTCAACAGGGAAAAATAGGGGGGAGAAATATGAACTAAATGGCCAGAAAGGAAAGAGGCAGGGGAGGGGCTCACGAGACCCACCCTAGCTGAGGAGATCTTGCCAGTCGATCTTTGCTGGGGGAGACAGCGTGGCCACTGGCAAGTATTACAGTGGGTTATATTAATTAGTCTCGGCAAAATTAAGGATGGATTTAGATGCAGGCTCAAGAACAATTTATTGGAGCATAAAAGAAAAGCACCCTAGGGCAGGCAAGCTGTAAATCTGGCATCTGCCCTGGGCAGCAGAATGGGCACTATAGCCAACATGGAGTCCAGTCACATAGTGGCTGCAGCCATATGACAGAGAGAGGAGCTTTAGAAAAAAAGACTAAAGTGGGGGGGGGTGCCGGAGAGGTGGCTCAGAGGTTATAGGCACTAGCTGCTCTTCCAGAGGGCCTGGGTTCAATTCCCAGCACCCACATGGTGGCTCACAACCATCTATAATGAGATCTGG